TTGCTTTAACACATTCTGTTGACTATAAGTAATGTTGCACCGACATACAGTATCTACTAACTCTCACCAGCGTGTTAGTAAAATATTAGTAGAGTGGTAGGGTTAAGGTTACATTAAGTTTTAAGATTGAGGCTTGATAGTCAGTAGAATGTCTGTTGGGAGATCATCACAATAAAGAGTTAGATATTAAGCAGACAGTCTACTAACACTCTAATGAGAGTTAGTTGACATGTAGGTGCAAGGGCGCCGTAAATGGGGGGAAGGTTAGGATGATTGTAAGGGCCCGACGATGGAGCGCGATTTCTACCAAGGGGAACACGATCGCGATTTGCACCGAGGGGAACCCCCGGGATGCGATTTAACGAGGGGAAGGCGATCTGTACGGCAGGGGAAGACTGATTAAATGTGAAATTGCTTAAAACAGATAAATTATGATAAATATTCTTGCTTTTATTAAACATCATTTACATTGTTAATGTTAAAAAAATCAAATAAAATAATGATTTTGATATTTATTTAACCTGGATTATAAAATGTCACTTACAAAATTATTGGGTAACATTTTATTTTGATGGTCCCTTTTGAGCATTCTGTTGACTTTAAGTAACTTTGCACCTACATGTCAACTAACTCTCATTATAGTAGACTGTCTGCTTAATATCCCCTAACTCTTTATTGTGATGGTGTCCCAACAGACATTCTACTGACTATAAGTAACTTTGCAAGTACATGTCAACTTATTCTAGCCCTATACCTACCAGTCTACTAATACACTACTAACACTTTAGTGAGAGTTAATAGATATGTAGGTGCAATGTTACTTATAGTCAACAGAATGTGTTCAAGGGACCATCAAAATAAAGTGAAACCAATTATTGTTGTACAAACAAAATATTTAAGCAACACAATTTGCATGATAGTTTAATATGTAAAAGATTAACAGTGTTTCCCACCATGCAGCCGTAGTGAAGAATCCACCCAACAACCTGTGGATCATCGCTGCAGTGCTAGCACCCATCGGCGTGGTGACCCTCATCATCATCATCATCACCACGGTGCTGTGTCATAAAAACAAGAGCGATTTCAAAAGCGATCCCATTGGAAACTTCAACCCTCGAGTCAAGGTACGGCAGTGACTGGATAAACATCCTGCTTGACCATTTCCCATAAGGCACTGCTTTGCTCTTTAACTCTCTCATTATAACTCATGCTATTTTGTACACTCAGCATATTTTACAGTGGCTTCATCAACAGTTTTTCTCAAACTCTTACATGCTTTGCTTGCTTTGCCTCTGGGAATACATCCCGAGAGAGTGTATGAGAGAGAGATAGAAATGATTGATGATCTTCATGCTGTTTTCTCTCATTTAGACTGCTTACTGGAGAGACGTGGGTTATTACCCTCAGGTAGTTATTCAGCTCTTCAATCATCTCACCTGCTGCTCTGGACTCCTGATGTGCACGCAGTGTTAAGGATGATGTGTAGAGTAGACAGGTCTCAGGGACAAAGTACTAATGATCGTGCACAATTAAAGGGTTAGTTCACCCAAAACAGTCAAATTATTTTGTCATTGACTCACCTGTGTGTCATTCCAAACATGTATGTCTATATTTATTTTGTGGAACATAAAAGGAGATGTTCAGTGAAGTGTGTTGGCTGCTTTTTCCATACAATGAAAAAGAATGGAGACAGGAATGTAGAGTTTCAAAACGAACACTTCATGCTTTCACTGTATGCAAAGGAGCAGCCTTGACATTCTACAAAACATTTAGACATTCGTACAGATTCTGAATGACATGATATGATATGATATTTACTGAATTGAACAAAATTTTGTGTGAACTATTCCTATGAACATCGACACTAGTATTTTTTTTTCTAGATTAGGACCTGATTGTATATGTGTGTGTTCCTTTGCGTGCTTGTATGCCTAAACAAGCTGAATATTTTAGGAATAAGGTCAGAAATTCTCTGATGATTTAGTTGGAAGTAGGCTAGCGGGACTGTGGAAGGGACAGAAACCTCTTTGTTATAAAAATGCATTTAATACATCAATTGTGTAAAACCATAAAACATCTATCCTCCTCTCTAAAAGAAATGCAGACAGCAGCACTTATTTAAAAATGTCAAATATGTCTTATTTATTAGGTATAATGATCTGACCTGCTTTTTCCCCACATACACCCTCTGGCCTAGTTTATTATTTGCTATGACTGACAAACTACTGCCTGAATTTTGCTTGAGCATTATAGAATGCCTCCTTGCCTTCAGTTATACAGTAACTGAGGATTTGCTATTTGCAAAACATGTGCAGTGTATTATATTATAATATAATATTATTAGAATTATTATTAGAATATTATTGCAGGGCTGCACAGCCGTTCCTCACATTAGTTTTCCGGACAGCAGTGCCAGGCCAGTGGTTTCAGGATGGCTTACACTTATGGGTTAAGATCAAAGCCAGTGACAGCAGTGGTTATTGGACACTTTTTGAACCAATACCTTGTCATGGCGTTTTTTTTTATGTTGAAATAAATATATCTTTATTGATTTGATATTCTAAAATGAACTTAACTGAGATATTACTTGCTTTGTCTATTGCCATCCACCTATTTTGTTCTGTTTTTTTTTTGTTTGTTTTTTTTCAGTGGATTGTCCAAATGAATTCTATTTCCAATGAACTTATGTTTCTGCTATTATAAATTATTTGACAAATTGATTTTTTTTAATCATCTCCAACTAGTTGTAACATTAAGAGATGTAATTGTTTAGAATTTGTGACATTTAAGTGTATTAAAATATATAGACCTTTATATTTTTTCTCTATTTAGATTCTCAGCACATAACTTTAGCAAGGGTAAAATAGTTCTGAGAGCAAAATAAGCTTCAATGACATTAACAGAAAACATCTAGTTAAGTGGCAAACAAGTAAACACTTACTACACATGTAACTTCCCCTGTAAACTATCAACCCCAGAGTGCTGTCCTGGCATTGCTGTCCAGAAACTGCTGAGACTCAATACAACTTTGGCTGGATAATGTCACAAGAGAATACATTACATTTTGCAGATACATACGATACATTTTGCAGGACTGCTTTGCAGCAGAACATAGTAGCATTGTTGCCATATTGTAAAATAACTAGTCTAGAAATGCTGTTGTATATTAGGTGATATTTCTATGTGGCATGACCCCAAAAATGAAAAAATCAGAGTCTAAATTAGGGATTAAGAGTGTTAATTTATTCCTGTCAGTCATATATTAAATATTTAAATAGCTCATTATCTCAATCATGTGACAGCATCCTTAATTTCTAATTTGTATATTTAAATAAATTCATTAATATCCACTAAATTCCCCCCAGACTGCTTAATTAATCAGAATTTGAGTAAAGTCTCATCTTCAAGGCCCTCCATTGCTAAATCTGTTTACCTTCATTAGATCTAAGGATTATATTAACATTTGAACTCTTGAATTTTCCTTGGTCTAATCCAATGCAGTCAGATTGTTCCAGTTATATAAATGAGTTCTTTATTTGAATGAAATTTAATACTTTTGATGGTATCACATAAACCCTATTTTTAGCGATGCATTTATTGAACCATTAATGTTCACAAGATGCTAACAAATTTTATTTTAATAGAGCAGTCATGTTTTTGACAAAACATACTCTATACTTTTTTTTTTAAATATATGCCTGAAATACATAGTCAAAACATTTGTCCAAAGGAATGCACAACCAGATAATTGTTTTGGTAGTAAAACAAAATTTATTTAAATATTTTTGACCAGTTAATTTAGATGTTACCATTTTACAGTGTGGTGTATATAAAAATAACCTTCATGTCTGTAATCAAATATAATATATGCCTGAAATACATAGTCAAAACATTTGTCCAAAGGAATGCACAACCAGATAATTGTTTTGGTAGTAAAACAAAACAAAACCCATTTATTTAAATATTTTTGACCAGTTAATTTAGATGTTACCATTTTACAGTGTGGTGTATATAAAAATAACCTTCATGTCTGTAATCAAATATGTGAATGTTTGCTCATTACTTAGCATGTTCAGGGGTTTGACTATGCCAAGCAGCACCTGGGTCAGCAGGGTGGTGATGAGGAGACCCTCCCGGTTATCCAGGAGACTATGGTTCTGCCCCACCCCATTCGAGATGCCCCTCTGTCATTAGATAAACCTGCACGCCAAGATGGATCCACTTCCAAGAAAAGCCTGAACAGTGAGATAAGGAAAAGGTATGTGTGAAGAAACCGGACACTTATGTCATGCTGTAAATACTCAGTATTCATGTCTCAGCCCTAACAGTAATGCTGTAATTTGCTGTTATTTGGCACAGGCCCACAAAACTACTTGTCATGGAAGACATAAGCTAGAGTAGATGCTATACAGTGTTCAAGAGAGGGTGAGATTACATTTACATTTAGTAGTTTTGCAGACGCTTTTATCCAAAGCGACTTACAATTGGGCAATACATAAAGTGATTCAGTGACTTACAATTGGGGAATACATAAAGCAATTCTTCTTAAAGAGGCAAACAGACACAGGAAGTGCTTGTAATACCAAGTTTCAGGCATTTGTTCAATTAATTACAATGGAGATAATGGATATAGTGACATAGACTTGTTTGGTAATTGCTTTTAAAATAAAATCAGTGCTCAGGATGTCAGTATGATCTTAACACTGTTAATGAGATCACTAGCCTCTTAAAGATTTGTCTGATAGTTGAGGTGACTGACTTTTAATGAATTTCATATGGTTGGATGAGCATACTGTAACTTTCAGTTAGTTTCATGGAGAAGTGTGATATAAATGGATCTTGCTTCAGGCAAAGTGTTCTCAGAGCAGAAACTTTGACTTAATAAGTGGATATGTTCATGATTTTAACCATTTATCTCTGAAAAAGTTGAGATATAATTTCTAGAGAAATGCATTTTTCATTTTCCTGCCTCTGTTCACTGAGGTTCAGCTGAATGATATGTAAATCACAAACTACACTATTGATCAAAAGTTTGGATAATATTTGGATAATATATAATACGATTTTTTTTAAAGAAGTCGCTTATGCTCACCAAGGGTGCATAGAACTGTTTAAAAAAACAGTTTTCGATTTGATTATATTTTAAATGTAACTTATTCATGTGATGCAAATGTGAATTTTCAGCAGCCATTACTCCAATTTTAGTGTCACTTGATCCTTCAGAAATAATTCTAATATGCAAATTTGGTGTTTAGGAAATATGTGTTCCCTATCGATACTACACTCATACTGCGTCTGTTTAAGACGCTTGGGGAAAACTCCTTTTTCTCCGATGACTGAAGCCTTTCAATAACGCAGTGTAACTGCACGGCCATTGGTTCGTGGTATAGGTTCGTGGTACATCGCCATAGGATCCTCAGATTATTCTCTTTCAGCGACGACTACTAGATCTTCACTCTACAAGACTACAAAGCCTTCGCCGTCATCAAGCCTCGCAGCCGATCGAGAGACCCCTTCCTGCTCGGCCATTCTCGCCGCTTCACGCCGCCACGCGGTGCAGCAGCGACGGTCTCCATTTCCCTGCCGCTATCTGGCGATATAAAAGAACATATTTCAAAGAGCAAATTTTCTGTGTTGTTTCAAATGCCACGCCGTTACTGTCGTTTGTGCAGGGCCCCCCTGCACGTCATTGACGGTCACGGCAAGTGTGTTTCATGCTTGGGCGCCGCCCATGCTGAAGCATCACTCATTGAGATGGAATGTTCTCATTGTGAGGATATGAGTCTCGCCTCTCTGCGCTCGCGGAAAGCTTTCTTTTCAGAGAGAGACCGCCCCTCGCACCCTCCAGCTTTCTCCCTCCCAGGAGCCTGTGAGGAAAAAGCAGCGGGGCAGAGGAACTCCGTGCTCAGTGACGAGTGAGCCCACGCCGGCTGAGCCCCCACGTGCCTCACTCTCTCCGCTCAGAGAGGTTTCTCCAGTCCACTTCTCCCTCCCAGACCAGCGTCCCTCTGCGGCTGCGAGTGATCTGGTCTCATTTGGAGGAAGCGAGTGTGACGCCATGAACGACAGCATGTCGTTGGAGGCTTCAGACGCGGAGGAGCTGTCGGGCTTGTACGTCGACCCCGCCCCCTTGCCATCTGCACAACCCAGCACGGGCATGGACGCCGAGCTTTTCCGTGTCCTGTCTAAAGCGGTGGAGGAGCTGGGTTTGGAGAGGTCTGCGCCGGAGGAGCCCACCTGCAGCCGCCTGGATGAGTGGTTCTTGCCGGGGCGCAGTCAGGCCCCCTGACAACGAGCTTCACCATTCTTTCCGGAGGGCCACGACGAGATCACCAGGTCTTGGCATGCCCCCTACTCGGCCCGCCTTCGTGCCTCATCTTCGTCCGCCCTCACATCAGTCGATGGCGCCGAAGGAAAAGATTAAAACTGACTGCCTCCCCTGGATGAGTCAGTGGCCGCACATCTCTGCCCGTCCATGGGCATCGGCTGGAAGGCAAAGACGGCCCAGCTGTCCAAGCCGTGTAGGGCGACTTTGGCTCTCGCCGGGTGAGCCTACTCGTCTGCTGGACAAGCGGCCTCAGCACTTCATTCTATGGCGGTCTTACAAGTCTTCCAGGCCAAGCTTCTCCATTGCATGGACGAGTCGGTAACACTTTACTTGAAGGGGTGTGCATAAGACTGACATGACACCTTCATAATCATGACATGACACCTACATAATCATGACATGACACATGTCATGAATATGAAGGTTTTTTATGCATATTTATGACAACTGTCATTAAGTGTCATTCGCTCAGTTATGTCATTTTTAATGCAAATATGACATTATTTGACCTAACCCTACCCCTACCCTTACCCCTAACCATAGCCCATAACAAAGACATCTCAAACAATGTCATCTTTACATAAAAAATTACATAACTGAGCAAATGACACTTAATGACAGTTGACCCCGTGGCTTTTAAGGAGCTGCACAGTGCGACCGACCTGGCTCTATGCCCCACCAAGATGACAGCGCAGGTGATTGGCAGATCCATGGCCAGCCTAGTGGTGCTGGAGCGCCATCTATGGCTAAACCAGACGGAGATCAAGGATGCGGATAAGGTCCCCTTCCTCGACTCCCCTGTTTCCTCTACTGGCCTGTTTGGACCTGCAGTTGAAGGCTTCGCTGAACTCATTCTGGCCAGAGCTACTATCTCACAGATCCCTCCTCCTCAGCCACTTAGAATGCCTGGGACTCAGGGTCAATTTTGCCAAGAGCGCGCTGTCCCCCAGCCAATGGATATTGTTCCTGGGAACAGTTTTAGACTCAGCCCAAATGAGGGCGGTAGCCGCGCCAGAACGTGCGCTGGCCATTCAGCAGCTCGTGGCCTCATTCAGAGTTGGAGCCTCTCGCCCCCTCAAGGTGTTTCAGAGGATGCTAGGCCTCATGGCCTCAGTGTCTCCAGTACTACAGTTGGGCCTGCTCCGCATGCGTCGTTTCAGTATTGGCTGAAACCACGAGTTCCATCCTGCGCCTGGTGTCTGGGATGCCTTCGCGTAGAGGTAGACCGTATCAGTGTATCAGCCCTGGACCCTTGGAAAGATCCTCGTTGGATGGAACGGGGCGTGCCCCTGCGAATGGTCTGCAGAAGGAAGGTAGTCTCGACAGACGCCTCCAACACGGGTTGGGGAGTGCTGTGCGATGGCAAGCCAACTTTCGGCCACTGGTTGAAAGAGGAAGGCCGGCTTCACATCAACTGCCTGGAAATGCTGGCAGTGTGTCTGGGACTTCGAACCTTTCTGCCAGACCTAAGGGGACACCACGTCTTAGTCCGCTTGGACAGCATGACGGTATTGTCCTATAAAAATTGCCAGGGCGGTCTCTCCTCGAAGTGCCTGTTCGCACTAGTGGAGCGCCTCTTGGAATGGGCTCAGCTCAACTTGCGCTCGCTGAGAGCAGTGCATATACCGGGCAGGCTGAACCAAGGAGTAGACATGTTGTATCGGAGCAACGTCCCCTCTGAGGAGTGGATGCTCCACCCTCAACCGGTTCAGAAAATCTGGGAGATCTTCGGCAGGGCAGAGGTCGACCTCTTCGCCTCAGAAGACAACTCTCATTGCCCAACTTACTTTTCAAAGGACAGGGACGCGTTGGCCTATGACTGGCCCAACCTCCTCCTTTACGCTTTTCCCCCGATCGCTCTGATCCCACAGGTGATCAGGCGAGTCAGGGAACAGAGACACAAGGTGCTGTTGGTTGCCCCCCTCTGGAGGATCCAGCACTGGTTTGCAGAGCTGTGCCGGCTGCTCTCGGCAGCCCCGTGGCCCATTCCCCTGAGACGGGACCTCCTCTCACATGCGAACGTAGTGATATGGCACCCCCAGCCCAAGCTGTGGGCTCTGCACCTTTGGCTTCTCAATGGGAACCTCCCCGAGAACGTGCTAAACACAATCTCTCAGGCTAGAGCACTGTCTACAAGACGCCTCTACGCCTTAAATGGTCTGTCTTCTCCGCCTGGTGTACAGCCCGTGGCACAGACCCAATCTCTTGTGACATATCTCTGATATTGTCCATCCTGCAAGAGCTGTTGGATAAGGGCCGTTCCCCTTCCACGCTCTAGGTCTATGTAGCAGCCATAGCAGCTTCTCACGCTCCTATAGCTGGCCAATCGGTGGGCAGGAACAACTTGGTTGTTCATTTTCTGAAGCTGTCTAGAAGGCTCAAGCCGCCTCGCCCCATCACTGTCCCTACATGGGATCTGCCCACGTTGTTGAGGGCTCTGAAGAGCCCTCTATTTGAGCCGCTACAGTCCATTGACCTTCGTCCCTTGACGCTTAAGATTGCTCTGCTTCTAGCATTAGCATCGGTAAAGCATATGGGAGATCTGCAGGCGCTATCAGTGAGCCCCACCTGCCTCGAATTCGGGCCCAATGACTCTAAGGTCGTCCTGAAACCAAGGCATGGCTGTGTACCAAAAGTGCTCTCTACTCCATTTAAAGCACAGGTAATAACTCTATCGGCGCTTCCTCCATCGGAGCAAGACCAAGAGTTGAACTTACTCTGCCCCGTCAGGACACTGAAAGTCTATGTTGAGCTTTCCGCCCCGTTCAGGTGGTCGGATCAGCTGTTCGTGTGTTTCGGTGGCCGCACCAAGTGTTGTCCGGTTACGAAGCAGAGACTTTCCAAATGGACAATCGACGCTATTGACGCTTCTTTGGGCCTTCAATGCACCATGGGCGTAAGAGCCCACTCAACCAGAGGTGTTGCTTCTT